ACAACAACATATACAACAACATATACAACAACATATACAACAACATATACAACAACAACAACAACAACAACAACAACAACAACAACAACAACAACAACAACATATACAACAACATATACAACAACATATACAACAACATATACAACAACATATACAACAACATGTACAACAACATGTACAACAACATGTACAACAACATATACGACAACAAGATGAATTGTGTACCCAAATAGCTGAGCACCATACCCGATCACCATCAACAACTGACCTTCCGATTGACGACCGTTTCGTTTCAATATGATCTTCCCTGGTTCGGCTTTGGGCAGTACCACTCGCAGGCCGGACTCAATCGCTGAGTAAAAACAACCCAAATTCACCACGGACCAAAAACGCCCGATTTCAACCTTATCAAAATCGAATCGAACATATAAAACAATCTGAAAATACTAATTCCAAAAATGTCGTGATTAGCGATAAATGCACCAACAACGAAATTTAGTTTATCGCTACCTTTAGGACTTCTATGCTGAGCCTTTGGGGAGTGTTTTGATGTCGCAGAATTCATTTTCGGAGATTCTCGATCATTCGTTTCCCCGTTTCGATACGCAGACGGTGGAACTGATCAGCGTTGAAGAAGAGTAAACATTATAAAAATTATTATATAATTTTATATTATATTATTATCAAAGGAATTATATATATATTTGCTTCCCTTACCAAAAAAATTTACAAAAAAATATTCACGAAAAAAATTATACAAAAAACTCTCCATCATGAACAAAAATTTCCCAAAATTTCCTCACATTTTCATATTGTCACCAACTCACTACAAAACTGACCACGTGCGTATCTTCTCACACGACCCCGAGAACTCTGGAAATTGCTACTGCATATTTGAAACCCATGCCTCAGCAGCACATATGGGGGCCTCAATCGGGTAAGGGAATTTCTTATGTTATGATGGGGACACTCAACGTTGGCTGAGTACAGTCAGGCAGCTGCGTCTATTTGTGGTCTATTTATGCTAATTTGTTATACGGTGAGATATGATATATAACCAATCGACAATACAATGGAGTTTCACCACTCTAGTGATACGAAAAATATATTTCACGACTACTGCATATCACCGCGAATATCGCGTTTTTCACCGAGTTTTACGCCACTTCGCGTAAAAAGGGTCGTGAAACTGCACTGTATAAATGTGAATATACAATAACGATAATAATAATAAATTAGATATAAACAAATTATACACTTCTAAGACATTCACCTGCAATTATTGTTGTGACCCTAGCAATGGTGAACTCGACAAAACGATAATAAAGTTGATTTAATAATACTCTATCTACGATTGCAAATACGAGAATATCTAGCCCAGCTGATCACAATCTGAATGCACTACATATCTTAGAGCGCTCGCACAAAAAGGGACATAGCATCACATTCAGCAGTACATTGTCGTTTTACTCAGCTGAGGAGCTCAATACTTTTCAAAGCTAATCATAGGAGTTTATATACGAGCGTACAGAAAAAAACAATGAATCGGAAAAAATCCTCAGAATTTTCATATTGTCATCAACACATGTGCTTGACCGTCTGCGAAATCTACCACCTATCCAATACAATGAAATTTCACCACCCTAGTGATATGAAAAACATATTTCACGACTACTGCATATCACCACGAATATCGCGTTTTTCACACAGTTTTACGGGTCGTGAAACTCCAGTGTTATATCAATGCCCAAATCCCCAACAAAAATCATATATCCTCACCTTTTCCTGGCGTTGATGCTCCGCAACCCATAACAGCGTCACCAGTGATTGACAAATTAATACACGAAAATGAGATGAAACACTACCAATGATAAAGGGCGACACATTCTCACCAAAACTCAACTCAACTCCGAAGTCCAGGAAGTAATCGTTGTCCGGACGTTTTACCTCGAGTATAAACGTTTCATATATACACATAATGGAGAAATCTTCCAGAAAATTTTCGTTTCCGACTCGAGTTTTTGAAAATAAAAATTTTCCTCACAAAATTTTCTTTTCAGAATGGAAAATTATGAACTTTCCAGATTAGATTTCAAAATTTCGTCAAACTGTAACACCCCAGAGAAAGCACATGTTCATCGCTCAAACGCTTTCACAGATGATTACCACAGCGTCAGTGTGAGGGGAAAATATGCACATGACCAACCACATGTTGGTGACAATAAAAAATGAGAAATTTTTGGTAAATTCTCATTGGTGTATGTGAATATTTCTACCCTAATTCGTATATGAACTTGCATAATGGAGTTTCACCCGTTTTACGTAAAGTGGCGTAGCACTCCCCGATATTCGTAGTAGTCGTGAAATATATTTTCCACCTGTGTTTTTCATATCACTAGGGTGGTGAAACTCCAATGCAGAAAAGTATACTCTGTGGCCACTGAGTATGAAATGTACATGTTCATCACTCGTAATATGCGAGCGTTATAAAATTATTTATTTTTCAAGGAAAGTGAAACGGTTTGCAATATAGTAGAATCATTGTGCCTCGATTCACCACCAACGATCAGAAAATTACTCGATGAGAATATTCACTCATTTTACCATACTCGTTTTCACATGTGTGTGCTCGAAAATTTCACAATGGAGTTTCACCCGTTTTACGTGAAGTGGCGTAATACTCTCTTCACCAAGGTGAAACTCTATTTACGAAACCGATTTGGTTTCCCACTCACTCGAAGCAGATCACCGTATAGGAAATCGTCGTCCCACGCGTGCATTCATTTGTGAAAAAAATTAAAATTATATACGTCTACGATGGTAAATAATACGAATCACAATAAATGAATCTTTCATAGCCGTTATGATGCACTCGAATGATGAAACTTTTTCCAGCTTAAACATACGGAAATTCTGGTAAAATGTCATCCTTACCTGTAAAATTCCGCAAACACTGAAGTTTCACCGCCCTAGTGATATGAAAAACATATTTCACGACTACTGCATATCACCGCGAATATCGCGTTTTTCACAGAGTATTATTACGTCACTTCACGTAAAACGGGCGAAACTCCAAAGTGTTTTTTGAAGTATACCGTAAATCGATCACATCACAGACTTGAGAACTACTAAAACGTCATGAGGAATCTAATGTATTATCACCGGGAATTGAGAAATGCTCGAGAGCTATCACGGCCAAGGCGAGAGGCCCCACTGCACTTTATATACGGCGTATAACCGAATCGTTATGCAAAGTAGTATTTTCAACTTAGCCTTCAATTTTCGGGAGTTCGAAAGTCAACTTTGAGTAATATCAACTTTGATAACAATGTGAATCGATCGACACCAACGTTTTAGAAGCGTTACGTAGTCTATAGTCGTACTAGTCTCAAATTGAAGAACTTAGCCATCTCGAAAATGTATATATGCATAACTGTACACTATCTCACTAGTAAAAATTAATATAAATAACATAATATAATATAATATAACGATATAATTATAATATAATCTGTATAGATAACTATATTACCATGTATTAAATATTAATAAACTACACCTAGTGAGAGTGAAACCGTCGCAGTACAGAATATGTTGATCAATACAAAAGTAGAATTTCACCCAAGTGTATTTCCGTTCTAATTCATCATACTCAGTGTGTAAACATAAGACCAGTTCTAGTTCGGAAAAATAGTATTAGAAAGCTTCTTGTGAGAGAAAACACATAAAGAAAGCTTACCTCGGTGTATGAAGGCGAACATTCATTCCACCAACACGGTAAAGTCTATACTAGTATTATACACGAAGTAGTTATTATAGTAATATCTATCTCTAGTGTAGAAATATATGTTCGCTTTCCTCACCAATTATAGCAGTTTACATACGAACCCGCTAAGAAAGGCACAGGAATCAACGAGAATTTCCCCCAAAAAATTTCCTCAGATTTTCCAATGTGTACTTCACCATGTGCATATTTTCCAACACCGTCTATCTCATAGAAAAGATAATATGAATCCCCCAAATACGAATTGAATGCATCCAACGCAGAACCACAAATAATAAAGGACGATTATGAAGACAGAAATGCATTAAACCTAACTTGTCAGTAGCCTACCCCATTAAAGGAAGCGTTACCTCAGCACCTCATGTGAGTCATCATACACATGACCGAAGCGATGCACTAGTATTCTGTGAGTAACATGACCATGGCGATCACAATCAGCACAATCGTTCTCGGGTAATTTTTTAACGAACACGGATACTTTTACACGGCCAAAATCGTTTGGTCAAAAAGTGTATTCTCCCAAAAGTGGTCACGATGGCACTTACACTTAGGTGAAACCGTTACCGTTCCGGATGTTTATGGTCGCCATGAAGTATACCCAAACTAAAAATTCTTGTCTGATCTACCTGCTTCACCTATCCTTTGTTGCGCTATGATCAATGCATCGGCAGACTTGCGAGATGAAGTAGAGAGAAACAAAAAGCAAGACAAGGTAACGATAACTAGGATATAAACGACAGCTGTTGAAATATATGCTCGCTTTCCTCACTTATAGCAGTTTACGTACGAATCTGGTTAGAAATGTACAGGAATCAATGAGAATTTTCCAAACCTCCGATTTCTCATCAACGATGTTGCTAGGGGTTGTAAACTGTACACCTTCGAATATTCAATGCCGTCTTTTGTACGCCTACTTGACTAACCTGTTACTGCAAGAGTACACGTACAGTCCAAAACTTTAGGCGCTGTGATCATTATAAGTCTTCAATACATACGCCTAAGGCGTGAGATTTCACGTCTAACAACAACCCCATTTCCTATACTGTCACCAACACTTGCCCTTGTGCACACTTTCCAACACGAGCGGCTATTCTATTTCTCATCAATAACCACGCATTATACAGTTTATGTATACCGCCTCGATTACAGGTATTTTCTCATACACTTCGATGCCACGTATTGCAGATTCTCACGTTTTACGTGGAGTGGTGTGAAACTCGATGAAAACAAGCGATATTCACACTATGCAATAGTCGTGAGATGTGTCTTTCACCAACGTTTATCATATCACGGGTGAAACTCTGTTATACACCCGGTTTGAGTTCACTGCTAAAATACTTTTCTTAAGGCATCAGAGAGATTCCCATTTAAAGCAATCGTCACCAGCCTCTAACGACCTCGGACGCAAATTACCCATTTGATATTCGTATCATCAATTGCCCCATTTAATGCGTCAGTCAAGGCTGAAACATATGCATGTCTACACAGCCAAACTGGCTTCAGTTAGAGCTAATACGAATATTCGTCATCAATCGCATTTCCCATTAATGCAAGCAGGTCATACAAATGCCTCAATAATCAGTCATTGAAAAGGTCACCGCATGAAATCTTAGAGCCAAAACGGCTCAACCGACACAATTGGTTTCCAATCAGACTCGTCATCTTTTATAATCACTCCTGCAACTTATCATCTTATCATCACTAAAAACACACTCGTAACACAACAGTAAAAACAACACCCGAGTTGAACCGAACTCAACCTTCCTAGCAGAGAATCTCCTTAGGCGGCGATAGCCATCTTCTTGGCAGCCTCCTCAGCAAGAGCCTTCTCACGCTTGGCGATGACGTCGTTGGACTTCTGGCCCATAATTCCACCACCCCAGTGACGACGAATATCAGTGTTCTCGTTGTACTGGACGTGCATGGTCTTCTGGATGGTCTCCAAAGCGGCGGCATCCTCCTTACCGACCTCAGTCACGGCAACCACAGCGGCAGTCTTCTTACCAACGAGTTGACCAAGACGAGACTTGCCCTTAATGATGCAGTAGGGGACGTCCTTCTTGCGGCACAAAGTGGGGAGCCACACGACGAGCTCAATGGGATCGACATCAGAGGCGATCACAACGAGCTTAGCCTTGTTCTGCTCCACAAGAGAGGTAACCTTGTTGAGACCATAGGCAATGGCAGTAGGCTTGGTCTGGGTGGTCTCCTCACCGGCCTCCTTAGCCTTAGCGATGGCCATAAGACGGGCACGCTTGTCAGCGGGAGTCTCGGGGCGGTACTTGGCCAAGAACTTGAGAACGTGAGTGGCCTGGTTCTTGTTCAAGGTGTTGGTGAACTGGTTGATCATCGGTGGGACCTAGAACGAAAAGAAATAAGATTCAACTACATTAGGAGGTAGTGAATTACAAAGCCACTCCAGATAACCAACCAACGGATGCTGAAGCATCTAGAGGCAGCGAACAGAACTCAACCTCTATAACAGCAGCTAAAGCCACCAGAGGAAGAGACATGTTCAGGCTCAAGGCCTTGCCCACATTGGTGGCCTCTTGGAGAAGGCTTAGTAATGCCCCTCAAGGTCGCACCTTCAGGCGCTGCATGAGAATAGCCTTCTTGCGCTGAAGGTTGACGTTCTTGGGCCACCTCACGTAACGGGTGAGGTCACGACGAGGCTGGATGTCCTGGCCGATGCCGAAGGAACGAGTCTTCTTCTCGGGAAGGATAGACCTGACAATAAATGGCATGAAAGCGACCCTAATTTAAATCTTCCCTGGTCGACCTCAAGATACGTCACATCACCATCCCGAGCTTACTTTCCGTGAGCAGGGGCCTTAGCCTTCTCGGCCTTGCCGATCTGGGGGACAGCGGGAAGAGTCTTTCCCTTCTTAGTAGTCTTCGAGCCCTTAGGTGCCATGACGAACGGTTCACTTGGAAGTGCTTACCGTTGCTCCTCCCCAGCCGCGGGCGCGCGCTATCGATCACGCGATCGATTTGTCAGCGCATCTTTCTAACACACAAACGACCTTGTCCCACTCCTCTCACCGGTACAAGTTTTCTCGTGAGAGGCATGTAAAGTCCCATGATCATCTTAGGGAACTCCTGAGCCTAGCTGAGGAAGGCGAACATATATTCCTACTCCAACACTGGCGCACGGACTCCGTACACTAGAGTAGAATATTCTTGTGTACTACTATGACCAAACCAGTGGGAATCGGTAGCGATGGAGATACTGTAATGGCGAAGTACCATCGAAGGCTGTTGAAAAGTGGACAGAAACTCAAAGAGGGACTCACGGGACCGTCCAACATTGCGATAGGTCGGTCGATGCTCACCCTCACTCACACTGGAAGATAATAGTTCGATACCACAAATTATCTGCTAACGTGTTCCCAAGGAGAATGAATTCTGAAAACACCTCATCTAAACTGTCAATATCTCGTATCGAATATAGAGTATCTATTGGATGCTTTCTGATACCAGAATTCAGCAATAGATTGTATCAATCACTGCGGTAAAATTACTTCCTCTATCGCTTTTACCGCACATAATTCACTCTCGCATATTCGTGATCGATCATCGATCACCAATGGTGATTCACCATCACGAATATTCAGCTGGAAATATATGTACATCGATCATCGATGTATGCATATTTTCAGCTGAATATTCGATAAGGATTCAATGTAGATTGAATCTCAATCTTATTCTGAGTCTTAGGTCATTGAGGTTGCTTAGATGAGACAGAGCAGACATCAGCAATTACTTATTCCATTTCTAAGCTATTATGATAACGCTAAAAGTGCTGTTGTAATTTGATAGGCGATAAACTGTGTAAAATAGTGGAAGAAGCATTGAGGGAACAAGCAACGGCTGAGAAGTTGCATGCTGAGGAAAGAGCTCTGAAGGATAAATGTCGGTCGCAGCCTGCGACTCGCAGGAACCACTTGTCGCTCGTGCATCATTTGATATGAAAAGAGGTCTCTTCTGGCAAGAGATTTACTAGCTGATCTGAAGAAAATGTGGTATGAGATTCTCTCATAATGAAAATAGTCGTATCATAAACGACATGTGTCGGTAAGAAATCGTCACCGACAATATCAAAATTCCGAGGAGATCTAGGGACATTCTTGTTGGTTTCTGCACACTTCTACCCGAGCTCGTTTGTGAACTTCTATGATAAGTGAGGAAACTTTTGAGCTCAGCTGAGGGAAGCGAACATATTTTCCGACACTGTTTTTCCCGAGATATCATTCTTGTCAGTCGTGCATGATCTGGCCAAGGTGACGGTGATGAACGAGAAACTTGAGAAACTGTGCAAGGCGTTACACGAAGAAAACAGGAGAGTCCGCGAGGAAGCGGAGACGATTACTTCACGTATGTGAGAGATGAGCGACGAATGCACTACGAGACACATAGCCTGACATATACCACAGACAGAAGGAACACCTGAATTTCAATATGGGCTGCCTTTTCCCGAAACCGCTATCATCTATCATAGTCTGTTCAGCCCATACTAGAGCTCACTCTATCACCATCCCAAGAGCGATACAGTCGATGAGTACACCGTTGTTGTTATAGATGTGGACGAAAAACAAAATAAGATGCAGAAAACTATTATTAATGTGATGAGCGATTTCAAGAAGGAATGTGCAGAGATGGAAGAGGAAAGGAAGAAGACGGCTGAGGAGAACACCATGTCAGTTACACTCTGGAAATACTCCTCACGAGTGACTGGATTTCGTGATATAGTTCAAATTGAATAATAACAGATTCTAAATCTACGGAAAATTCTCTATTGTATAGTCATTTCGGCTCCCTCCGTCTGCTTCGGACACTATATCACGGAAATCGGTCACCCGTGTTATATAATGATCCATGATCATTGAAGAAAATCGTGATATCGTAGCCTACTATTCGTAACGTCATCGAGGAATCCTCAATGACGTTACAATGGTCGCAATTTACTCAATTTATGCACAAGGTTTGATATCAATTGTGTTGCTTAGCTTTCTCGCTATTCCTGATCATTGTAACGGTTTTCCTCCTCGGCAGGCTTAGAGCGAAATTGAAAGGGCTCCTTGAAGACGTTAATGAACAGAGAACGGAGACTCAGACCAAACAGAAGATGATGGATGAACTTCTGGAACAGTATAAGAACACACATCACGAACAAAACGAAACCATCAAAAAGTTATGTAACGAAGTAAGTGACCACCGCTCGTAGAAGTGTTGGAATACACGAGCGCATTCCTCAGCTGAGCTCAGGAGTTTATATGTACAGTGGGGAAGGAGTGTACAGAAACCAACGAGAATTTTCCATAATTTCGTCAGAATTTTCATATTGTCGCAAACACATGTAGTTGAGCATGTTACGTGCTGCATGTGCACATTTTCCCACACTGGCTCGTTGCTCGTTAGTTGAGCTCGCTTCGGCGAGTCAGCCTAAGAAAGGGAGCGATATCCCCGTCTCTCTGTGATCAGCGTGACTCACTAGTGTTGTGTGTGGAGAAACAACGAGAGGAGATAAAGGAGTACAGCATGAAGATCGACGATATGGGCGGCGTATTCGGCAAGTCGACTGAGGCGTTGAAGAAGCTCAAGTGGGAAGTGCACCATTTACATTCACCGCTATTGATGACTATTTATTGAGATCATCAACAGTTAGAATGACCACACGAAACGATCGCTAGCGTTGCGAGCCTCGCGATACGATCATCTTTATGCGAACTCATTGCGATCGACTGTGGTCGACAATCCTATTGTATTTTCTATGACTTGTGACTCTCGTGAAGTCGGAACTTTCCAACGATACACAAAAGAGGGTCATTAGTCTTGTAAAACCTCTGGGGATAGTTCTTCAGTCATTATTTTGAAATATTGACTCACTAAATTGTGACTGCACTGATCGATTATATCAGCAACGCTACAGCCAGCACGCTTTGGGGACAGATATCTGTGTCAGCTGACACAATCAAAATATTCGTTTGATGTAGACAATCATCTGAAAATAGAGAACAAGAATAACTGGAAGCACGATTAATGTAGAAAGGTGAAGAAAGTGTGTGTCGCAATGATCAGATCGGAAGTGGACCGACTCAAACGTGATCGTGGGGTGATGGAACAGAGAATTCGAAAAGAAACGACTCAACGAGAAGCTCTCGAGAATTTGAGTGAGATGTTCATGCGGTTTTAAGTTGTATTTGGGCCGCGGGATGAGAGGAAACAACTTGTGAAAGGTCACCACTACATCCAAGACTTGTTGACGTTTCAGCTTGGAACACTATTTACTCAGTGTTGAATCGTGAATTTGCATGAGGAGAACATACACTCTGTGAAGTGCCCTTATCTTGGGTACGAGACCATTTATATCATATCATCATATCGCCATCACATCTGGATCTATGTCGTTATTTTTCCAGATGAGTTATCAAACTCGTTTACTTCATCTTGAATAGACCGAGTTCGTTCTCAGGCCGATCACTCCAGAGTCAAAGAAGCGAATTAACCATGGAAGTGCAGACGATGAAAAAACGTATGCAGGAATTGGAGGAAAATAACCGACATGATAACCGAAGTTCATAAGGATATTTCGACATCCACAATGTGTGGCGTTACAACATAGAAACAAATGCGTGAATACAGAGAATACAAATACAAGCCGAATACAAGCCGTTAAGCAGCCAAGCCTGACTCGGGGTCCATATACTGATGTCCTGCAATTGCGACTCGCGATGCGCGAGCTAGTTGACGAGTCTTCGCAGCTGATCTCAGGAGTTTTCTCACCATGTTATGGAAATTCATAGATGAGTTTGGGAAGAGGTGTACTTCAAGTTTCGGTGCGAAACCAATAAGCATCTCACGAAATTTTCTCAGAACTTCTATAGTGTCACCAACATATGTGGTTGACCATGTGCATATTTCCCCATACTGGTGAACGTGTATCACTCAGCGGGTTTTCTTGCAAAATCAATGAGTATTAAAACCATGTTGCCGCTTCTGATCAACGTTGTCACAGTGTCTGGGTATCGCGGGTCGGAAAATCTAGTGGAGCCTCTCGAGCAGCTCGATGTTGTAGACGCTGCCTATCCGGAACAACTTTATGAAAAAGCGAGAGAAGAACTTCGAAATGTGTGAAATTATTCGTGCGCTACGAATCCTGGAAAGGATGCAGCACACTTCAGGGGGAAAGCAAGTCGATCAATCCATACGACTATCTAGCTAAGACGACCGAAGCCGGAATAATAATGGCATTCGTGACGCTCAAGTTGGTGAGTTTATTACTACCTATATGTTGTTGGATGCTCGTCTCAGGAGTGGTCGTTAAAGCATCGCAAACTCGGGACTGACCAGTTAGCTGACGTTTGGAAGAGTAGACTGACACTCGGTGGTTTAGGAAAAGTGAATGTGTGAGTGAGAGGGACTCCGCTCAAATCGCTCCGTGCTCGTTTCTGTATTTTTCGACGTCGGTGAATTACGATAATTCTTCCAATTGGTATGGTAAATCTCTGACTTCCAGAGGGATGCTGGAACTCCTCCGTCGTTCGAAGTGAGTCACCCACGTGAATTGGGTCAACATAGGACGCGATCATGCTTCGGGCACAACGCTCTTCTCGTGTACCCTCTCTCCACTGCTGAGAAATCACTTGTATAGTATGAGCTTATTGCTGCCCGAATTATTTATTCGCCGCCCGCTTTTTCAAGTGATTCAGGGCTGTGGTCTTGGAGGAACAGAAGTGGGGGAAATCGATACGTGCTACTCTTAGGTACTCGTTCGATCCAGGCAGGATTTTATTGGTCGCCAACGATGGCAACGAGATGAACGATGCTCAGCGGTTCATATTGAACCAACCTGAGACGGACTTGTGAGTGAACTGTTTCCAGTTCAGTTTCCGAGAAATGATTTCTAACGCTCTCAGTTTCGAATACCAGCAGGAGAAGTATTTCCCAACTGGTCGGGTTGAGCCATTGAGCACTCTACAAGAACGGCAGTCTGCTGAAGACGAAATGCGTAGAGCAACGATGAAACGCCGAGTGAGAAAACCGGTCGCGTTTACCCAGGGTATTCGGAACATAACGAAGTTTCATTCATACAGTTTATGGCTGCCTCATTAGGATCGCACTCAATGTGGTTCAATGGTCCACAGTTCGAATGGTAGATCACCGCGCAACGTTCACCGCGATGACCGCGATACGATAAGTGAAAATACCACAATGAAAATGACCGCGCCACACCGCCACCAAATACCGTGTTTTCGGCGAAAAGTTTTTACCGGTTACCATCCCACGAAGCGAAACACACGTAGATGCCACTCAGAGTGGTATTTAAACGGGGCCCACTCCTATTCAGCACGATTATCTCCGTGCCACGGATACCATGGAATTCTTTTCGACTAGGACAAAGCTTGATGATTAAAATGCCCAACAACGGGTGGGTTCGTTCCCGTTGAGTGAGAACTCCTCACTCGCATATCTCAGCCTCGCTTCCGAAACGTCGAAACACTTCCGCAACAAAATATGCGGGCCACATGTACACTGTATATTGTACTGTGACCCTCCACCTTCCAACATTGCCTGTACATGCAAAATTTGCTTTGCAAACCGTTGCACCACTCCTCAGGAGTGACTCCTATTTCTACGTTTGCCGCAACCCGAGTGACCTAGCTCGAGGGTGGTATTCCCATATCCTAGACTTACATGCTTCAGTGACTGGAGAAACATGAGCTTTAAAAGCTCAACTTTTCATATCAAGTTTCTGGCAGAAACTTCCTGCCGTATTTGCCCTTTTGTGTCTTACCGTCTTGCGCAGAGTAACAGCATTCGTGGCATGACGAAATTCTCCGTTGAAAAATGTCGCATCTGGCGATATTGCGCCGCGATAGCCATGGCCGTGTGTTTACCACGGTACGTGCTTGCCGCGGTCACCGTCGAGATATCCCGTTTTTTACGAAATGGTAATCATTTCGCGGCAGCGTATCGCGGTTAACATACCGGGGGTGTATATCCATTGTATTGAATGAGTAAACTACATAGATCACGATCAGTGTTGCCATATCATTATGATATTATCATCACTGAAGGGGCGTTAGTCAATTACCGCAGGAACGGATTCATCGATAGAGACCTGGCTGCTAACCCGGCACCGTGCTCCTGATTACAGCGTAGTATCAGATACCATCTCAAGCGAGAACTAGAAGCAACGAGCTATAGATATTAAATTTTCATTTTGACATGTTGTTCCCTCAGGAAACTTTCCTGGGATCCTGTGCCGCATGGAGTACCCGATTCTCATTGATATTGTGTAGTTTATCTTCAGTGGTAATACTCGACAACGTCAAGTCGACATTTCGAGTGTATCAATGTCACAGTGAACTGGTTCGAATCGAAAGATAGAATAACGGAACGATTTGTCCCATCGATTTATCGCTGCACAAAGACTTCGTATGCTAAAAGTCACAAATGAACTACATAAAGATACAGGGACAATGAGCCCTTACCAAGAACACACCAAAGGTCCTTGTATGGCCAAACGAAACCGATTTACACCGCGACGATATAGTTCTTAGTAGCTGCAGTCCAGCTGCTGGTCTTACCATTGGCCAGTGGTAAGTCCAGTATTGGCAATACTCTGGCGAAATAATGTTTATCTTATTAAACCCGGGTTTGTTATCGATGAGCTTGATCGAGCAATCTTGGCTCAAGTTGCGATGATGCGTTCATAGCCTAGCGATCGAGAGTAATACCTTACGTGAGGGAAGGTTATGGTGTCGGTGAAGATAAGTCGTCGTGATTAATTAACAAACGAGTTGTGCGGCACAAAGCACTGCTTTCTTGAATGGCTCGCGGGCGTGATTCGAGCTCTTGTTAGTGTCGATCCTTATGGATCATAATTTGTGGTGGCGGCGTTTTTAAAACGTCGCTTCATCCCTCGCCGTTCATCGGCACATTAAATCTGAATGCATCCGATGGAACGATGATCGTTCCTTCTCCGGCATGTAATCACTATTAGTGATTCACTAACATCCGGATGTTAGTGAATCACTAATAGTACGCACGCAGATTCCGCGTCCCAAAGTACACGTTTCCGCCTTTCTCCGTCCACGCAAAACCCCCCAGTCGAACAGAGTTTCATGACAGAGAGCCGACGAGCTAAACAGATATCGACGAGTTGGTTTTTTTATGAGCGGAAACTGGTGTGGAAGACTCAGTCCGACAAGCGCTTCCTACATAGCCATCAGACTGTCTTAGACCAGCGTAGTTGACTGCATTCATGTTCCTACTGCAAGCTGTCGTAGTAACGTCCAAACCGACACTGACCTAGTTACCAATGTGGCACACTGAGTGTGCGGCAGCCCGCCAGAGTCGCAATGATTCTCGTGATCCATTCTCTGAGAGAGAACCTCTCCGAAAAGTCGGTCATTCTAGGAAATCTTGCCGAAACAAATTGACTGTGGAGGTTCCAAAGCTGGGGACAACTGAGCTCACACGTTCCCAGTTCATGCGTGCTACTCGATGCTGATGGAGGACTTCAAAAACCGCGGAGACACTTCTTGATAACATCATCGAGAACAACACGAACAGCCTGAACTTCAGGCCTTGGAGCGCAGGGCTTATGGTTTTCTCCTGTGGCCTCCTTCGGAAATACTTCCCGACCAGTGGTGTCCTTGTACATTCTAAGTTGGAATTTCCAACGTAGACTTGTGATTCCGAAGCCATATTACGGCATGTCAATGGTCTATCATTCATTCATCACAATCACCTGCATCTGGTCTTTCTGGGAGAGCTCAATCCTGGCCATCAGGCATGCCAAAAGCATATTCGACGACCTCAAGGCTCATAGAGGTGCGACTGAGTTCACCATATCGACAGCCCATTGGAGCAACTACAGCAACTCCCCATCTTCAGGATTGGTTTATACTCCGGCAGAAGAAGCCCAGCATTTCGCTCGTTTCGAGGAGGAGTTGAGGATCCAGTCCGAACTCATCTCGACTGAAGATTTGGCGGTCCTCTACGATGAGACCAGACCGGCCATCATGCAGAGCCTCGTTGACGAGATCAATTCCAAGCAGAACACATGGACCGCGTCGACTGGGCAGAAAAGATTCAAGAGTAGCTCTACTTCCCAATTGTTTGTCGAAGCATCTCTCTGCTTTTCCTCAGACCTCTCCCTGCGTGATGCTAAAATGCTATGTGGAACACTGATGAGAGGGTCAAACGACAAAGCCGTAAAAAAAGGCTATGCTATAGAGGAGCTGCAAGACCTCCCCACTGACTTCGACGCTCGCACCGCCTTTCCCAATTGCTCAAAGGTTATCGGCCATATCAGGTAGCTAACTGGCGACTGTGTGAGAAAATGCTGCTTCGATCTCCAGAGACCAGTCAGCTTGTGGGAGCTGTTGGGCATTCGGTGTCACTGAGGCCTTTAATGACCGCCTATGTATCAAGTCGAATGGGGCGTTCACGGAGCTCCTATCGGCCGGCGAGATGAATGCTTGTACGCTGTGAGTCGAGGATGCAAGCCTTAGCCTGGGAGCTTTCCAATCGGTACTTACTGCCCAGGTTCTTCGGATGCGGTGGTGGAGATCCTTACTCAGCCTGGTCTTGGGTGCACGATAAAGGGATCGCAACTGGTGAGGGGAGTCGACCGAAACGAGTCTCGGAATCCGAGGCGAGTCTGCTATGACTTATCCTCGACAACTCGATAGCCATTCATGTCTACAGAATAAATACAGGGGAGACCCACACTGTAGTCCACAGTGTAGGTCTCCCCCGTCTACAGTCTGTAGACGCTGGGAAATATGATGATAATCCCGGCACGGATCGCTGTCGTTCTCAGCGATGAGCCGGCGACGATGACTCCTGTTGTAGCATCGTCTGGGACGACTTATCCC